AAACAATAAGAGAAGTAACTTGGACACACTAATCACTTTACGCTAAATTCGGTTATAATTTCTTCTAGAATACAGGAAAAGACTGTTGGAAAACTCGGTATTAGGTATACTAGAGATTTCATTTTCGCGCAGCAAGTCAAGTATCAGTTGGCCATATCACGAAAGCTAGTTGCATAGAAATGTAGGTCATTTCAAATGGTGCAACGTAACAGTGGTGTATTACTGGTAAAAAATTAATGCCTAACAAGTACCATGGGATGGAAATAATTGAGGAAATAAGGATTCATGATAAAGTAAAAGGAGGTTTGGTGTACTCCAAGTAGACAGGTATAGGAGAGCTGTGATGTTTGCGGACTAAAAATATAAATCCACAAATCCATTGGTTGGAATGTTGGAAACAAGCCGTTTGGTTGTGTTTTGCAGTTATAAGCCAAGTGCGAATGAGACAATGCTTCAACAAGTTGTTGTTTAAGTATACTTAGGCTGGGGCTAGAGACGACATAAGTTGGAAGATTGCTCCATCGCTGACACACTCGGAGGGAGAAATTGCTACGGCATTCCAGACGGCTATACTGCATAGTCTGTTTCAAAGAATGATCTCTTAGTCTGATGCTGTGTTTTAGTTCCAGCAGTGGCAGGCATCTGTGATTTGAACTCTTCAGAATATGACAAAGCATTATGAGGTCCCACCGCAAACGCCGATATAGACTGCTGCAGATTTCTTGGTTACCCTTCCTTGAAGAGTCTCGAAAGAAAAGAGCTCCTATTTCTTACACGGGTGCCACGCATGAATGACGTATTCCACCTGCGACCTCACCTAGGCGTTAAGCATTTTTGGTGGGACTGAGCAGTCAAACCGTCAGAACGCTCGGCGAAAAAAGCCAGTGAGTTGATTACCGTTATACGACTCCTTTTCTGCTTGTTTCGAGTATTTGTGATCGTAGGGTACAATTACACCCAGGCCATGATCCTGGGAGGCCTATTACAATGTGTGATCTCCAAGCTTGTACACGCTGACAAGCTGGTGATGCAGGTGTATCGCATTGCACTCAGCTGTGTACAGTTGCCGGAGATTCTTCGTTGACCATTCATAAATGCAGTCTAGATCATGATCTTTCTTGGGATTAATCGCCAGCCACATCTTGATATCATCGAGCAAAAGCTAGAAGCTAGTGCGAATAACACTTGCCTGGAATAGGCGCACTGGAAGACACTACATCCCGTCTCAATCGGTTTGGAAACGATCCCTTGACATGCACTTGAAACCTCCGTTAATGAAGAATGTTGTAAATTCAACCAAGAACAGGATCTCTGATTTCGTAGCTCTATAGCTTGTGAAGTAGGATGCGGTGATCCAAGCGCTCGAAAGCTTCGGAAAGTCCAGACGGCTGATGTCTAATCCGAGTCCACCATGAGACTAAACCAAAAATTATGAGTGTTGTGTTCTCTCTCATTTGGAGTCTTGTCAAATCATTACATTCACTTAGCAATCTGGAGAACTTGGCACTTCAAAGTATTCAAAACAATTTTCTGAAATATCTAGCTATAACCCGTGTTTCACCTAGTGAGAATGTCGTTATCACTGGGGTATAGAGCCTATAAGTATTCTACGTCTCAGGTTGTATTTGGCATCTTCCACAAACGGCTTCAGTACCCCCGTTTCGACTATGGTATAGCAAATACTGCATTCTGTCTGAGCTATCAAAACTAAGCTTGATTTGAAATTTCATCTCGTCCGGTACTCGGTGATTCCGAGTTACTCCCCAGTAACTTTACTTCATTTAGCTCCAGCTACCAAGGAACCTTATGTAACAACAGGTGACACCAGGGATAATTGTAATAATGTCACGCTTGATTGGACGTGGGTAAAGATCTGAGCAAATGCGCAATGCAAATGTGGGTATTACTGTGATTTTGAACATTGCAATTCCACTATGCTCCATATTTACTGATATTATTCGGCGGTGTTTAATTGGAGACTTTGGGCCCTGAAAAGATAACTCCAACTGAGCTGCATTTTCAATCTCAGTTCCAAAATTACTCTCTCTCCTCACTTTATCTTGTTGAGTTCGAGGATTCTTAGTTCGCCACAGAAGTTGAAAATAGCAAGCAGAGAGAGGCCGTCTTCATTTGCCCCCATTTACTGCTTAGTTGCTCAGTAGTATACAACGAGAATTGACATATGTGTAAACTATTGTTTAATGTTCATCGAATGTCCATACGTGCAATCTTTCTCATTGGACATGTGTCTGCATGTGAACTGGTGACATATGACGTACTTATAGGTAAATTGCACACCCTTAATAAGAGTGGATGCCCAGGCATGCAGATGCTGGTTCCCCTACTTCCGAAAGAGTTGTTTAAACTACTTGTATACCATTCTACTAATTTGTTCACTACTATTTCGATACTAACATGTCGTTACTGATCATACATTCTTTGTTCTGTCAATTTTGGTCGCACCACAAAATTTCACCAATGGTACCCTCCTTGAGCACAATGAACGGAACATGAGCGTGCGAATGTTGCAATCAACTTCAAATTGAATCACCTTTGCTTCGACGATTGAAGCATAACTTGTTACTGCTTTTCAAGATGCTACACAAAAATACCTGTTCCGATCTGCATACTCTCGAATTACAAAATAGATCAACTAGGGAGCGTGGCAACAAAGCTTATACACAGATTATACCAAACGCTAGAACGCGCATGTGATCGCATTGTTACCTGGTCAGCTTTAGCTATCTGTAGAATAAACTACCAATAACCCTCAGGTCATGAGACAATGTGGCAATATTTAGAAGCAGACTCTCCAATTACTTTGATCCAAATACCATGAGCACTGCTGGTGGTCCCGCGGTAGAGAATCCCCGTTAAGGCGTACAACTGACACATTATTTTATTAGTTACAATGCACACTATAATCAACTGGGGAAAATCCTTCGACAGGCTATTTGAATGGGAGCCCAAAAACATCTGAACACCAATATTTTTAAAACTAGACATTTTGCCTCAACCATCCACTAGAACCTAACTACTTGGAACGCATACCCCAATATTCCACCTATGCATATCACACACGCTAGAGCACGGATACTTTTGTACAGATGGATCTATGCCGCTACAGACGCTGCTTTTCGCATCGGAAGAAATGTATATAGTATTGTTATTACTATTATTAATATTACTATCCCTAATATTTAAAATTTCTATGAGCATCGGTTGTGCTTGCGAGAAAGTATTGGTTAGAAAATCCCGAATAAATCCAAGGAGAGTTCCGAAATTTCCTTCTTTTAACACATCTGTCTTTGACCTGCTGATACCTGCTGTTGAAAATGCTTGTCATTCCTTATGCAGGAGTGTTTCCCATCACCAATATTTTCTAGTTTTTCTACTTTGGGACTGGTTCCGTGCAAAATCATTATACTAGTGATTTGTTTTCTGTCACAGTAGCCATAAAAGCTGCAGTATACTCGAGATATATACGTTATTACTTACGTATCCCACAAGCGCCATTTTTCGACAGCATAGCATTGATCCATTTCCGGTTCAGCTCTTTTTTATGCCTGTGACATTTTAACTTAGAAGTCTCCTGCACCAAGTTATTTAGTTTGGGAAAAGTATTTCAGAACCTAGTTTACTTTCGGGCAAAATCTATACAGCGAATATCGATCAGAATAGCCCGTAGCTGTCGAGTAGTGATTAGTCTGGTGAACCTGGAGCAGTGGTGCGCCACTCTTGGTGAAAGATGCACGATCAGGATCTAGTTGGGGGACTGTGTTTTGATTGTTGAAAAACATCCGCTCTGCAGACGAAAAACCCAGAGATCCTGGAGTGAGCTTGGTTTGCTAATTAGTTAAATCGCGAATACATTCCTTTGCCAACGTCACCTTGACTTGCGACCGCAGAGGCTGTTGCAAACTTTTGCGGAAGGCGCCAACGGTCAGTGCCTCAAACAATAATACTTCGAAATGATTTACCATTACTTATGCACAAGTGAAGTCTGAAAAGCAGTAAGAGATAAAATGTTAATCTTACTTGCAGTAACGTTGGTTGATTACGCAGAATGCTAAACTTACTGCATACTGCAACTGTATTCTGCAGATCTTTTTATAGTTTGTCTAGCAAGAGAAACACAACTCGTAAATCTCATTCTGTGTATAGCTGACTTTGGTGAGCGGAAGTTCGGTGCAGTATTTCGGTTGTCTTGTAACGATCTTATTAACATTACTGACCAGTCGTTCAGAACGGCAAGGCATATATGCAAAGATGGCGAATGGCAGTGTTTGAAACGATTGGAACTTGGTGTTAGGCCGACTGAAATTCCCTTTATCCGGTTGGAATTGCCTAAGTTCTGAGCACTAATTGGGAAGAGAAACGACAGATCAAATGGCACCGGTAATGAATGAATGCATGCGATCCAGTATTGTCAGTGTTCTGCTTACGAAATATTGTCTATAGCCTCATGTGAACAAAAAGAATAATTGGCGTCAGTGGAACGCCGGTACACAGTGCTGACGCTTCGCTGCCACACAAAACCACCATCAGTCCTACGTGAGCTGAGGATACTGCGAAGATCGTTCGGTCCCCTACGCAGACTCTAACCCGCGACACCCTGATTGCAAGACAGGCTTGTGATCCCTAGCACCACGGACCAGTCCTATGTTAACAAGGCTCATATTCTGTCCGATGTCGTGGTGTTTAATTTGAAGAATCATTTAACATGACAATGATATTCAGTTGCTGCCACGAGTGGAACAACCCTAACTTCCGATGGTTTAGGTAATTTATTTCTTACCACATGTGTCATTGTGTTTAGCCCCGCAGCCTCAAACGAGAAGACACACTGGAACTGTGCTATCACGCGTCGAGCAAAGGGGCAAGCGCTTTTCACTCCTCATCATTTACACCTGTTAAACATTGATTGTAAACAAACCATTCGGATGTTTCATAGCACAGTCGTGTTATCAGAGACAAAGTTCTCCATTGTTCCCAATTACCTGGCTAATGAGGCTCAAACTTTGCTTCCATTCATCCAGCGCCATGTTGTGCTTCACCCTTCTTCGTTTGGTGATACGCATTAGTACTCCGTCTGGTTTGGGCTGAGTGTCCTCCAACAGAGGAGTTCCATGCTGCTGAATGACCCAATCATTCACCGCTTCCAATGGGAAAGTGTTCGTTTCATTCGCCGGTGAGTGACCATTCACCCTCGTCAGTGGAAATAGCTCAAAAGAACTAGGCTGGAAGTAACATGGTGGTTAGAAATGACGTGTAATCAAAATATAAGACAGCTACTGGAAAAGAAACAACAATACTTAATTCACAAAATTATTTTAATTCCATTGGACGTATTCATGTAACGCAGATTCC